TACTTTCGAATATATTTTAAATCTAAAGTCTTCAAGATGATGATTAATAGTTCCAAATATGAGTTCAAATGTCAGCTCGTTTCTTTTTTTCATTTTTAATCGGCGCGAGTAAAAAATCGGCCTTTGTGATAAAAAGACTAATGTCATCTCTCAGTCATGTGTATTTTACTTGATTCTATAAACTAATTCCTAGATACTTGCCTCCTTCCCTGTAAGGGTCTAAAACAAAATAAAAATCAATTATTGCGACAAACCGGCGTGAGACTCGAGATGGATTGCTCGAAGTAACATAATTACCTTCACTTTTATCAACATTTTTCAGTTTCACTAACGATTATACTAAATTGTTACAGTAATATCACTGGCCGAAGTTCGCCGACGCCACAGAAAAAAATAGGACGAGCGAAAAGATCAGAGATCGTAAAACAGTCACTACTGCACGGATGACTTAACCTAGCTTTTTTTTGGAATAGCGGTGTGTCGCCGTCTACTGGCGACAAGCATAACGATTAAAATGTTGTTTACATTCGCGTACTCGTGTTGACCTTTTTATCTTTTTGATGCCAGATATTGTAATAATATAAAATTAAATTTACTTAGGAAATTAATCATATTTTATTAAGTTATTTGTACATTATTGAATATATGTATTTTAATTATTAGATATAAATATCACATTTTGCGCTTTACAAAGAGTTATCTTTCTGTTAATTATCATGTACTAAACAATATACTGCGTCAATAAACCGTTAGAAGAATGTAAGTCGCAAGAGATATAGTCATAACTTTTACAAATGTCATTATTTCGATGAAAAACTGCTGGTGATTAATGATTCGAATAAGGTTCCTAACGATCTGTCACAATTTTCAGCTTTTCTTCTTGAGCCATCAATTGATTCTTTATTTTCTGTAATAGTTCTTTCTTCACTGAGTCTGGTACAAGCGTGCGAGCTCTAGTGGTCACCGTAGACAGCAACATATCGTAAGTAATGTCATTGCCATGCTCTTTTATCAGTTCTTTTGATATCAGCTTCACCTGATCCCGCCAGCCACACTCAACTAGTCTACGTCTTAATAATTCCTTCAGTCTGCAAAGAATTTTC